AGGCTGTTACATTGGTCAAGTTTTGAAGGACAGGGTGGAAATACGTTTAGCCATAATGGCATTCGAGGTAGGCAGTTCTTGGTACAATGGATTTGGAGCCCTATTTTGAAGGCTTGTTCTGGTCCCAATGCTTTGGAGAACCGATTTATATTTAATTTATTTTTATCATGTGAAACAATTAATAATATCATTAAATGCATAGCATAAAAGTTTTAATAAAAAAGATGATTAAATAAAAATAATAAAATATAAGAACATTTTATCATATTTAGTTAGATTTGGAAATTTTATTGATAAACATATTTTGTGAAGTTAACTTATTTAAAATAATAATAATTTAATCCAAACTAATTTTGAAAACGTATTAGTGAGTCAATGACATGGATGAGAGAACATTTGGAAGTGAAGATTGATTTTTTGGTCTTTGAAATGATCAAAGAGGATGCTATCTCCATACTCCAATCTAGAGGTGGCAAAGTGGGCGGCTCGCCCCGCCCATCAACCCGTCAAAAAATGAGTCAGCCCGCCCCGCCCCGTTTGGCGGGTTGGGCGAGTTGGCCCGCCAGCCCGAGCCTATTTTACACTGACCCGCCTCGGCCCGCCTATGCCCGCCATCAACCCGCCAAAAAATGAGCTGTCCCGCTTTTGAGATGGGTTGAAAAACTCAGCCCGCCCCGCCCCGTTTGGCGGGTTGGCCCGCCGAGCCGAGCCCGTTTTGCCGGCTCTACTCCAATCATCGACAATCAACTTTGAACAGAAAATGGGCTAGTTCTTAATATGGTTCAGGTTCTTGAATTGGTTTTTAAAACCAGTTTAGTTCATGAACCGGTTCGGTTTATGTACTGGTTTTTAAAAATTGATTATTTTTAATTTTTTTAGTTATTTTGTACCTCCCTAGCTAAACCTAAATTATTTTATATATACTTGACCTATTTAAGCAAAGTATGACCGTGCCCAACCTATTTAGTGCCCGTGATATCCTTCTTCGGAGCTTCCATTAACTCATGATTTTCTGAATATTGTAAGTATTCTCAACAAATTTGCAGTGACTTTTTAAACACCAAAGAGATCACCACCAAATCAGCCTCAAAACGAACACATTACCCCGGTGCCCAACTTAGGAATCGTGTTTCTTAGTTTTTCTTTTCAATGTTAAAACTGACAAAATTCAGGCTCCTCATACATAAGGAGCCTCATTTCAACCACAAAACCTTCATGAGAAGTTGCAAACTCACAAGATACCCATCATGAAGTGGATTAAATCAATTAAATCTAGTAATTTTGAGACATGATTCTGTAAATAATGGAAAATAAAATCATGCAAGCAATTTCTATTTTTAATTAGAAAACCAAAACAAACGAGAAGTAACCATCTTTACATTGATTGGGAAAGGTCGCGTCTTTACATATTGGGAAAACAATTTCTTTTATGAAGTAACCGTCCATAATAATTGCAAATTCAAAAGAAACGAAAATCGTTGACATATAAAAGCATTCAAACAAAATTTCGTTTTGTATCCGTTTTCACAATTAACAAAAATCGAATCATAAATTTATTTGAATCATTAATGCGTATGACGCATTGAAAGCACCATAGTCAAAGGGCACTCAAAGCAACGATTATGCCACATTGAATGAATGAGCATTGATAATAACTATCACTGTGATAGTTCAAAAACAAAAACAAACACGGTTTTGCATTTTCACAAATGAGACTCTAAGTGTAGAAACAATAACAATAACGGCTTTTTTTGGTGTATAGTATAGGATAAAATTTGATAGTATAAGACTTGATAGTATAAGATCTGATAATATAAGACCTGATTGTATAAGACTTGATTGAATTTTAATACTATCCAGCGTTTGACATGATATTGTATAAAATAATATATTGTATAAGATAATATCATCTAATATTTGGTAATGTACTGTATAATACTATATAGGATAAAAATAAATATCTTTTAATAAAAATATCTTTTAATAAAGAATTTATATAATTCTTCAAAAAATGTCATATGATATAATTTTATAAAAATCTATTGATCAGTGTGTCCAAAAAATAAATTAAATTTATAAAACTAAAAATATTCAATATTTTAAAATTTAATATATTGAAAAATTATTTTTTACTTTAATATATTAATATTAAAATAATATATTAATTTTTGAGAATTGCACTGGTCAACGATGTTAATACACTAATCCCTTATCAAGCCTAGTCCTTCTTCCCCTTTAGGCCGGATTAAGTTATACATCGTTTTGATGTATTAAAAGATTCTGCTGTATAAACTTATACTATACGATGGTCACACTAAACAACTGAAAATGTCATATCGTATAATATAAGCTTATACTATCATGCCTTATACATCACACACACGCCCTAAATAACAACAAATAATTTCTAAACAGAGATGGATAATACAAATTATCCTAAGATTGTTAGAAAATTAATAGGAAAATAATGAGAGGGAATAACAACGTGTGTAGAAGTTGTCTCATTGGATTATTTAAAGTGAGATAATGTATTTTAATTTTTAATAGCATTGTTTAATAAAATCATTGGAAGCTTTCTACAAATATTAATTAGTTTTGCACTTAAAAGTAGTAGATATTGTCTTTGTTTCAGTACTTCTGGGAGACTTGTGTGTTTGAATTAAACCTTAATGCCTAACCTAAATTAAGCAAAACAAGTCACTTCATAATATTTTTCCATTTAACTAGCAAAAATTTGTTTGAAATAAAAAAATATCTTAATTTTTTATTAAATTTAAAATGAATTCAAACTTACGATAAAATAGAATTACACTTTAAAATAAATTTAATTTTTTTTATACATAAATTTAAAAACTGTTTTATTCCTTGACTAATTGGTTCCTTCTTAATTACAATTTACACTTACTCATGGTCAAAATTCCTAAATGTTTGAATCAAATTTTTGTTTTTGGAAGAAACTATTTAACTCCTGTTCTAGATAGCCCACATACATAAGCCCAACCACTGAGTCCAATCTAAAAAGTCCACTTTTAGAAGGTGACATAGGATTCCCTTTCTTCCCCATGCACATGGTTGCCCCTGCACACTGGCAGGGGTTCAACATGCCCAGTTTGAAAAGGCTAGGTTGACTAGGGCTCCCACTCTAAGTACCCCCTCTCACATTGAGGAAATGGCTTCTTCTCCTCCATTCAACTTCATGCGCAGCTACCATGAAGAGCTATTCTAGCCACTCTCACATACTCCCGTTATGCACAATATGGGAAGCTTCACTAGTGCTTTGGTCTCTACCATTGTCATTATGAGCACCTCCTATATCAACATACTTCACCCTACATAGGGCACATTTTGTATACCAAGAGCACTTCTTTGGTACTTCTTTACTAAAAGTAGAAAATTGTGATGGTTTAGGAAAAAATAACCATACAAGAAAAGGTAAAACGGTAAAAAAAAATACTATTTTTTTCAAATTAAGTAAATGATGCATTGAGTCTTCAATACTCACGTAGTACTGAAGATATCTCTGTACACCAATAGTACAACTCCAAAGTGTTCATTAGTCAAAACTTGTTAACCAAACATGTATTTAGTTCCTTATTAGTTGAATTTGAAATGAACTCTAATCGTAAAAGGGACTTATTATTATACCAAAAAAGTTTCCATGGCACGGGCTTCCCTCTAAAGATAAAGCTTCAGAAAAGATAGATTTATTAAAAGTTGGAAAAAGCAATACTTATTGAACTTATAAAAAGAATGGGATACACTTTTTGTTTGTAACTGGAAAAAAAAAGCTTGAAAAGCGTGACTAAAAATACAAATTTTGCAGTCTAATTAACTCTAGTGTAGAGAAATACATTTAAAATAAACCAACTTTTGGTACCGTAAAAAAAAACCAACTTTACGTAGTTTTAGAAATTTCATAAAGAGTTTAATTTTGATTTCAGTACTTATCGTATATTCATATTTGATATATAGATAAAATCAGAATCTATAGAATCCGGTTAATTTCGTTACTTTCTTTAAAAATAAGATAAAATAAAACGTACTATCTTTTTTTAAATTATAAATTATAAATTAAATAATAAAAATTTACAACTTTTTTATGTCTATAACTTTTATAAATCTATATTTTTCGTTGCTCAAATAATAACAATTGACATGAAATTTATAATTTTAAAAAATATAATATAATATCAAAGTGAAGCTCTCCCTGTGACTCTATTGATGCTATAGTTAAAAGAAATATAGCTGTTTACCAATATATATATATATATATATATATATATATATATATAGCTGCACTTTAAATCTTATTTTTTTTATTGGCATACGATTTATAATTTTTCTGGAAATTATTATAATCTTTAGGTATTTATTGAATAATAAAACTAAATTAATATATATATATATATATGTATATATATATATATATGAATTTTTTCACATAAAAGAGAGAAAAATGTTTGTTATTTTAAATGACATAAAGTTATGTCATTTTAAGATAGAGATAGACATAAAATATTTTTTTTGTTTAAAATTTAAATTAAAAAATCACTCACTTTCTCTTCTATGATTTTTATTTTTTGTGTCTATCTCTCTCCTAAAATAACATAATTTATGTCATTTAAAATGACAAACATCAAACATATAACATGATTACGGGAGGAATCAAAATTATGAAAAAATCACTCACTTTCTCTTCCATGATCTTCATTTTTTGTGTCTATCTCTCTCCTAAAATAACATAATTTATGTCATTTAAAATGACAAACATCAAATACTATAACATGATTACGGGAGGAATTAAAATCATGAAAAAATAGATCAATAATAATAAAAAAAAAAGAGAGAAAAATATTAAAATAAATAATTATAAAATCATAATTCTTAATTAAAATATTGAAATAGATAATCAAAGGATGATGATTTTTTTCTTACAATTCATTTTCATATATATATGTATATAGAGAGAGAGAACACTGCGGTCCCTGCCCCTTAAAAACCCCAACCCTAAACATTTTTTCCCCCCACTTTTGCCCAACGTAGACAGATTGGCCTCTTCTCTCTCTCTTTTCTGTATTTTTCTCTCTCTTCACTAATGGCATCAATTACCTGCACTTGATTTCATGAATTCTCCCTTACTCTTCTCACATACACTTTACCCCAAAACTTTTTTTTTCTTTTTTCTTTTTTTGTTTTGTGTTGTTTTGGCATTCCCCTGAAATTGAAGAAGAAAGAAGGAGCCAAATGGGAAAGTACATGAAGAAATCCAAAATCGCCGGCGACGTCGCCGCCGTTATCATGGAGGTTTCCACTCACTCATCCTCCTCCTCCGTATCTTCCTCCCCACTCGGGGTTCGCACGAGGGCCAAGACACTCGCTCTTCAGAAATCTCCGCCGCAACTTCCGGACTCCTCCTCATACCTCCAGCTCCGGAGCCGCCGCCTCCGTAAGGTTCCGCCGCCGGAGCAGCCCCGTAAGTGTTGTAGGGAAAGCGCGCTTGCGAATTCGAGGTTTGTTGAGAGTTCGGCCAAAACGGCGTCGTCTCCCAGAGACGAAAAGTTGGGAACTTTTTCTGTGGAAGAGGAGAATGTTGATGTGGGTATGGATGGTTCTTTTGGAGAAAATTTGTTGGAGGTTGAAGGCAGAGATAGGTATATATATAATTCTGATATCTCCTCCTTTCTTCTATTTTATCATTTTTTCTCTCTGCTTTTATTTATTTTGGGTATGAATATTCCAGCATTACAGTTTTTTTTTTTTTTTTTAATTGTGGGTATCTCTGTTTTTTTTTTTAAACAAAAATTTGGGATTATTTGCTCTTTATTTGTGTGTGCTGTGTAGCTCTTTCTGTTTGTTCTTGCTCGAAATGAAGTGGATACATGTGAAAAACCAGAAAGGTTTTGAGAACTTTTTAGTTGCATGTAAGTGTTTCCATGGTTTTGAGAATTTTCATAAAGTGTATTTTCATGTGCATTTCTTTTCGCCTGGAGGCAGATAGAAAGGGAAGAGCAGAGAAGAGGGTTTTCAGAATTGTCATATGTGGGATGTAATTAAATATAATTTCCCTCAAAGTCACAACTTTTTTGCTTTTATAGATGGGAAATACTAGTTTACTTTGTTCTAATAAATTAGTATCTTATGTTATAAATACAGCATTTGAGGCTCATTTTTATTTAAATAAATAAATAAATAAATGAATTTTATATATTTTATGTTTATGATATGAGATAATTAGTTTCCTACGAACGTAAGATTAATATTCCGCATTATATATATAATGGGCGCTCTTATTCCTCAAATTTGTTCTGTTTATGCTATTTCACTCTTTTGTGATTGTATTGATTTTTTATATTATTTCAATTGTTACGTTTTTAGCGGAGTGAGAGTCATGAGAATTTCTCGAAGAAGAGAGTTTCATAATTGTTGAATGCGGCTGATATGATATATTCCATCTCAAAAGTCGCAACTTTTTTGCATCTTCTACTTTTTTATATTATTATTAATTCTTGTGAGGTCTTAGTCCCTGAATTTTTATTTATGCATTCTAACTTTCATGTCATTGTTTTGATTTCTTACTCCGTCAAATCTGGGTACAGAGGTAAAGGTCTCTGAGCACAAAGGTTGCTCAGATTTGTAACTCCTGTGACTTGTGATAGGTTCTGCAACTTGCATACCCCTCAGTATAGTTATTTACAGCAACTTGTATTTTTCTTCTCTGTGTTGATATCTACATGTCACTCTTTAATTGAACCGCCTTTCTTACGTAATTTATTATTAGGTTTTATAAGAGTTATGTTGCAGAAAAAGTGATTGTGTAATGTTATAGAGATTCGTTTTGCGTGCCTTAACTTTTTTAATTTTTTTTTGTTTTAAAAAGTGCAGGTCCCACAAAATGTTGTGTGTGTAGGAAATTTGATGGTGTCATGTTAAATGAGAAACTACAATCCCTTTATTATTAATATATCTTATTTGCCATACGTGCCCAAAAAGAAAAAAAATAAAAAACTTTTTTGCTATAAATATCTCTTTACATTAATGCAGTTGATAAATTCTCAATCTTTTTTTTTAAGTGAATAGAACCAAAAAAAAAGGGTAAATAATTTCTGTAGCTTAGAGAATATTGATGGACATTAATTTTCTCTGCAGATCTAGTTGTTGAGTAATTGTGATTTTACAATCTTGCTGCATTTCCCTCAAGATTTTGATGAACATAGAAAACTGAGTAATTAGAAATGTTTCTGTCGTGACTCCAAAATGCATTTAACGTTGAAATTTTTTGGATTTTAGTAGTAATAGGAGCAGCTATAACTCATTTTTTGAGTTTTGACTCGTGTTAGAAACGACGTTTCATGTACATGGGGCCTAGTGGTATATTGTTGTGTTTTGGGTTACTGCTTGGGTTTGCGGAGACTGAGAAAGATTTGGCCGTTTCTTTCTTTGTATTTTTTGGTGGTTGAGCCCACTGAGTTAGTGCTTGTCCCATTTAAATGCTAGTTACTTTTTTAGAGTAGCTATTTGTCTCTAGTTCCATACTATAGAGATTATGTGTGAGGAAACTCTCTTTTGCTAAGCTATTTTCATTACTAATTTGTTTCATTCAACAGAAGCACCAGGGAAAGCACACCTTGTAGTTTAATAAGGGATTCAAATGCCATTCATACCCCTGGTTCAACCACAAGGCAAAGAACTCATCAAATAATCCATCAACACATGCAAAGAAATATTCCAACGGCTTATGAGGTGGAGGAATTCTTCTCTTATGCAGAGAAGCAACAGCGAACAATATTTATGGACAAGTGTGTATTCTTTTACCCCAATTTTTTCTTTTCTTTTTTTTTGGTTTTTCTCTGAGTATGGTCTTGGAGCAGCAATAAAGTTACTTCTTATGAGGGATAAGACTGCGTATAATTGATTATTATCCCTATCTTTGCAAAAGAGGGAGCTTAGTTAATTGGATTTTTCCTTTTATTTGTTTTCACCTAATATTGTACTTTTATTTGGATTTATTCCCCATTTATTGAGGTATTTATGTAATATGCTAATGTCTATACTTTTACAGGTACAATTTCGACATTGTCAATGAAGTACCTCTACCAGGACGGTACGAATGGGTACCAGTACTTAACTAGGATAAGCTTTAGTCATATGGAGTTCAAGCAATGCTATTAGACTTGTAATTTAACAACTAGCAGCTTTCACTAACCATTCAGATTGCTTGAGGCTCTTGTTCAACTAGTTTAAGGAAAAGGGTCTGTTTAGAACATGTTTCTGAAATCTGGGTAGTTTAGAGTTAGGAGTCTTTCTGATTTGTAGGGGTAAGTATATCTAATTTGTAGGTCATATTTTCTGTAATTTATTTACTTTCTGTCTATAATTCAGTAGGGACTATCATGGTATGGAGAGTTAATGTAGAGAGTACTTATCCTTCAATGTCCTCAAGCTGAAAATTTGGCATTGATGTTTTAACGTTGAAGACTTTTTAACCATTCTATATGCCCCACAAGGAGTGCCTCCAATGTCAGACAGTGATTCATTCAAACTCTGTTTGCATGATAACCAGTCAATACCTGCACAAGAGTACAATATTAAATTACTATAAAAATAAATGAATGAGTCTTCTTATATTTAACATGACATGATTATTTAGGGGAATTATGACTATATAAAGTTAAATTAATGGTAATAATTTTGTAATTATTTATTTCAATATTTTTTTTATATTATTGATTCATTTTCGTATAGTTATGATTTTTTAACACCATCATTCCATGTTAAATATTATGAGAAGATTCACTTCCAAAATAAATACAAGGATTACTTTTTTTATAATGAAAAAATTACATTGAATTCAACTAATGATAGATCGCTTTACCAAAAATAAAATAAAAATACAGCAATTGAAAATATAATTCGTTTTTGAAATTTGGTTCTTTATCTAGTTCTTTCGGGTGTTAATGGGCCGGACCAGACTGAGTTTTGATCTTGAAAGGTTACGTTTGTGTTTAAATGTATCAGATCGACCTAACTCTGGAGAAGAATTTTAGTGGTTCGGATCATCATTTACTCAGTGGTCCGGACCAATCAAAATTATACAACTAATGAGGAGAGAGGAAAGAGAATAAATAAAAAATAACATTTTACCTAAGTGTCACCTCTTGAATGGAAGGACCATATAGGACATGGAGCACCAAAAATAATTTCGTCTTGGACAAGAATTTCAGTGGTCCTGGATCACCATTTACTCAGTGGTCCCGGATCACCTAACCCTGCAACCTGTTATGAATATAATTATTAACATGTGGACTGACTTATTTACAAAAAATAAAAGTTTGGCTTAGCCTATTAAAAAAAATAAGATGACAAAATTTTATCCAAACAGAATATATGATCAACAACACTAATAATTTCATAAAGATTCATAAGTTCAATGTATATTTAAACAACAAAATTTAGAATAAAATCATTCAAAAAGGTCTGGTTAACCATTAAACTAAAGTTGTACAAAATTTTGCACATCCAAAAGATCAAAGAATACAAATTTTGCGTAAACAATTTAATATATTAATATCAATAATTTAATATATCGCGACGTTGTCTCCTCCTACATAAAAAAAAACAAGTTAGATTATTTTTAACATTCAATTATAATATCGTAAGATATAAAAACAATTTAAATTAAGTAAATTAATACTTTTCTATTTTTTCTTTATGACATTCAATTATAATATCATACAAGGTAAGGGCAGAATGATTGCATTTCCACACGAAAATATCTACAATCTTAGTTTGAGCGTACACAAGGAATCATAAGGACTAAAAAAAAAAAAAAAATATTAACCCAAATACTTGGAGTGAAAATAACGATGGATCACGAGGAGGAAGTAAAAATTAGGTTGAATTTAATAAATATTTAATATAAGAAATATAAAATAAAAATAAGAGTTAGAATACCGTGCCAGTCCGATAGACTCGACCAAACTTTTGAATTGATTTATTTTTATTAAATAAGCTTTTACACAAATATCCAACTATCAAAATAGATGGGTACACAAGTTTGGCCAAAAATCTCTAGCTCTTTTAACGGCCATATTAGTGACATTACAATGTGGAAGTAATGTTAGTTATTTTAACATGTTATTAGTGATTATTACTTAAGTGATTAACTTTTTTTTTATTGAAATCAATAATTTTGTTATGGTGAAATAATAGAAAGTTGGTCGAAGGACACATTCCGAAGTGTTTAGGGTGTGCATGACAACCTTTTCGGAATGAGTTTTTTTTTTTTTAATTTCTGTTCCTGGGAATAAAAATGGATGAGAAACTCGTTTGTTAAAACCGGTTTATTCTTTTGTTCTCCAGATGAACCGGTTTAATTTTTGTGCCAGGAAACAAAAAAAAGAATCAAAAAATTCCTGCTTTCTCATTCCTGGCACAAAAATAGAATCAGTTTTCTCACTCTCTCTCTCTCTCATACCCCTCATACACCAACACCAAACCATCACCGGCCTTCAACATATCACCAGACCACCACCTCCTTCACCGCAGAATCTTCCCTCTCTCTTTTGCCTTTTTGGTGTGCCCTGACATTTCCAAAGCGAACCTGGCTCAGGATCGGTGTTGTTCGAGAACCCCAGATGGAAACCTCCCCATCCCACTGCAACATAACATAACAAAACATCCAAATATTTTTAATCTTGGATCTAATGCGAATGCAACACCAATTATTTTAATCTTCTCAACATCTTCGTCTTTCCTTGTTACAGTGAATGTTTTGGTATGTTTTAAGTTTCAAGAAAAATTATTATTAACATTTAAAAATGAAAAAAAGAAAAAACAAAGAAGTTTCAAGAAATCAGAATTCTGAAGGTGTGTTTGTTTTGGTATTTTTCCCCAGCAACCTCGATATTTCCAGGAAGGTTCCATTGGATCGTTATGTTGTTGATGTCCACGGGCACGATTATGTGGAGCTAGGACGCAAAGAGATGGCTTTTGGCGAAGTTTCATTTGGTGAATTATTGATTTTATTGTGGACACCACAGTTTATTGTTGTGTGCATTATTAATTAATAGCCTCATTAGTTTGTAGAAATAAAGCTAGGGTTCAGTCATCAGCGGAAGATGACTAATAGCATATGGGACACACACGACATTAATATTAAGGTAATAATATGATATTAAAAAATAAAATGGTCAAGGAAATGAGAAACAAAAAAAATATGAATTGTGAAGATGATTAAAAAATAATAGTTAAAACTATATATTAGCATTTGTCGTAAAAAAAAAAAAACTATATAATAAAATATTATAAATTTTTATAGAATTTTTTTAAATATAAAATTTGGCATTTCGGTTAAAATTTGTTGTCATTTGCTATTTTATACAGTGGATGAAATCTATAAACAAAAGTAAAGAAATAAATTTTTATTGTGTTATCAAACGTAATTCTGATTCGCAGAATAAAAATAAAATATGTTAACAAACGTACTTCTGATTCTCAGAATTGTTCCAAGACACAGAAATAGAAAAGAATCATTTCTTTTCAGAAACAGTGCCAGAAATCAGAATGATTGTCATGCGCAGCCTTATTTTAGTTTTTGAGACTTATCCCACGTGCACATTCTAAAGTCTTGAAATTTTGGTGAGTAAATGATGGCCGAAATATTTTCACTTACACTTAAAAGTAGAAAAGTTATCAAACACTTTGAAATATTCATGGTATGTTTTCCATTTTAGTTGGAGAATGTGAAAATCAAATAATATTTTATCAACACTAGAAAAAGCATACGAAGCAACAAAGGTTTGTGTTAACGGAATGAGTCTGGCATATACTTTCTATTTTCAGAATATCCTTACGATCTGTCAATTCGAATTGGATAATTGTCCCCTTTGGTTTGTGTTAAGGAATGCACTAGCATATACTTTTTAATTTTCGAATATCCTTAGGATCTATCAATTCATATTTGGATAATTGTCACCTTTGATTTTGGACAAGAGGCATCATTCCCAAATGCTGTCCCTATCTCTCTTAACTCTTCATTGTCTGTGCAATTTGTTCTCTAACAAGTAATGAAAACGGTCACACATTGATGAACATTATCATATAATATTTTGGTGTTCCCTTGAAAGATCAATAATACTTTTATCCCAAATTAATTGGGGTTGATTGGAATCTCCTTAAAAGCATAAATAAATAAAATGACATGAATTATATGAAATAAAAAATTTTAAATGCTTCAAATGAACCTGATCAATTTTTAAAATTTTTATACATATACATTTTGTTGAGAGATTGTGCAATAAAGTACCAGATTGGGTCCCTCCATTTTCATTCTGTCGTTAAAACACACATTTATCTTTTACGTTCACTCGTCAAAATTTTCTTCTAGTCTCTTGTTTCCCTCTTTCCTAGACTATCTTTACGAGTCGTTCTTGTTATTTACGTAACAAACTTTTTATGCTAAATAGCTCCAGGCTGAAGAATAATTTAGCTCAGGGTTAGCAAAACGAGTCAACTTGCCTTGCTCTGTCTTCAACCCATCAAAAACTGGATGAGTTAAAAATAATAATCCACCTTGTTTTGAGACAGATCAGTGGGTCAGTCCGCATAAAATATAAAATATTAAAAAATAAATAAATAAACATATTCACATTAATCTTTTATTTCTAATTTCTAATATCTAAATATTTCTCAAATTTAAAAGAACCATCAAGCAATAAGTCAAAGACAAAAAAATGATTTAAATTTCATTTAACAAAATAATAACATCAAGCATATGAATATTTGTAAATGAACACACTATTGCATTTGCATCATGTAATAAGAATTTCTTAAGTTTCTAGTTTGATTTGTATGGATACTAATATTTAAATCCAAAAACAGGCTTATTGTTCTTTTATTTTTTGTGTTAATCTTCTTCTTTTTTCCCCAAAAGAATCAAAAGTGAATAAAAAATAACTTTTCCAATAAAATAACAACATTATGACCCTAAACGAAAAAATTTGTTTATCACATAAGTCATTCACATAGACTAATCAAATCATAATTTAACATTTAATATTTTTTTTTTTTTAAAAAGTGACCAGCAAATTGACCCACCCTACCCTAACCCGTCCCACATATAAACGGGTTATGTTGGATTTGTGGTTTAAAATACATAACCCAACCTGTTCTGTTTATATCCAAGTCATAAGTATGTTTAACCCTAACTTTGCCAAGGACCATGAAATGTCGTTGGTTTCCTTTCCACCAGGCTAAACATACTAATGACTTGGATTAATTGCATTTATTAGTATATTAATAACTTCATTTTCTCAAATTTATTATCAAATTTATACCCCAATTCAACCTAATGGAACTGCTTAATAATCATACTTGCATTGAGCCACTAGGAGCAAGCTAGTTGTGAGGTAATTTCCTTAAAATTATAGTTTCAAGACTTAATGCCATCATTATCCAAATACACATTATAGTATATTTGAGTTACCTTCAACACAGTCCATCTGCAAATTTCTTAACATTAGCACTGCCATTTCTGAAGCTACATTATTCAACCAAAAGAATAAAAACATGCTACACCAATTAATACAGGATCATTAGTACATAAGACATGAAAATAAGGAAAGGATTTTTTAAGTGGTCTGGGCCTACATTAGGACCCGTGAGACCTATTGTAACGCACACATTAAAACACTGGTATTAAAGTGAGCATGGTCAATATAAGAATGTCTCATAAGATAAATTTTATACAGTTATGTGAAGACAGAGCAAGAGTTAATAAGACAGATTTTTCACCCGATTAACGCATCAATTTGAAATGGTGCTCAATTGTATAGAACATATGCAGTATACAACAGTGATTTGTTACCATAGTAAATATTAAATTTTCACACGAAAATTGTCTCAATATTGAAATTGAATATCTGCAAACAGTATTCAGTGTGCAGTGCTTCCAATGATTGTGTAAAATAAAGACATCACAGAACTTTGGAAAGAAAAATATCAGATATAATTTTTAACAATTTCTACAAAGCTTAATATAGTTGAGAACTTCCTCCAATGATTCAGTTGTTTAGAGGAGCCAAAAAAAATCTTATTTCATGCCCCAGGAAACTAGACTACCTGGCCCTTGTAAGGATTATTGTGACTGTAGGCTAATTGGAAGGCTTTTCAGATGATGTAGAACCCTTTTCAACCACTTTGGTAGAATTAGCAGATTTTTCAGCTTCAATTTTCTGACGCAGTCTTTCTTGAAGAACTCGTACTCTTTCTTCTGTTTTGCGAAGCCTTCTCCATCTATAAGCAGTCCAGAGACCAAAGCCACCATATACAAGAATATAAGAAGCCCATACATAAGGATAAGTTTCTGCATTCTCTTTGATTTTTTGATACTGTTTTTCCAATGAATCTATCAAGCCCACAGGTGACATGCCACTGGCTATTTGACCCTCAGTTTTCTGGATAGGTGTGGGGGAACTTGTTGCTTGCTGGTTTTCATTTTTTGGCTGATTTGCCATGTCCTCTGCTTGTGTTGTTCCAGTTATCGATAATTTAAAAAAACTGCATAACCAATGACATTTTTACGTGCCACATTAGTTGAGAAAACAGAAGACAGTAACATTCATAATCGAACACCATAGCATCACAGCATGAGTAAACATGCCAACGGAGAAAAAAATTTATTCTGCACTTGCTAGTCAAGAGTCAACTCTGAGAACATCTTAAACCATACATGTGTATATGAAGCCACATCCAACAAATACTCTATTTAATTCAGAATCCAGATGTCATAAATTAAATTTTTTCTTTCCAGACATGAGCAAATGGTGGAGATTTTGAGTATTGTGTAACCACAGAAATTTCTAATATAATCCAAGACGTGGGATACCACCCCACCAATGTGATAGCCTGTCTTCAATTATTGAAGCATCAAGAAAATTATATCATATGGATCAAGAAAAAAGAAGTAAGCTACAAAACAAAAGTTACATAACATCTTCAAAACCCACTTCGGTAACAATACGTTCCAAACCATTTTCCTTTTTTGAGTAATTAAGGAATTATACCGAAAGGGCAACCATTGTACATCTAAACAGTGAGAGTAGTCCAACATTGAATGAACTCACTGAAAGTATGACTCTGTAATGGATTCCACTATCTACCATGCGATCCATCTGAAATCACCATATTCTAAAAAACCCCAGTGCCTAAATCATACTTGTGAATAGCCCTGCTATAGTGCGCTATAGCGGAGTTGCGTTGCGGTGCAGCGACTAGCCGCCACAGACCGCACCGCTACGGTCAGACGAAGTGTAGCGGATGTAGCGGCCGCTATTGCGGCTGAATCGCGGCGCTATTGCGCCATTACAGTAGTTTATGCAAAAATGTTCTCGTCGTAGAAGGAAGAGATTTACAACTTAGATACAATTGAAAGTAAAGATGAAGATTTGGATGTTCATGATTTCAATTATGATTAGTTCCTTAAGTTCTTTGATTTTGACATTTCACTTAAGTGGCAGTTTGAATTTTGACTAATTTTGCCACTTTATTTTGTTGTGTTACATTATTTGAGACTTTAATTCCTTCAATTTGCTTATGATTTGAATTTTAATGTTTGAAATCATTTATGTTTTAGTTTGAGATCCTTCAAATTTGTTTTTTATGTCACATTTTCATATTTTAAGTTTTATATTTGTGAAGTACAATTTAGTATATCACTTAGGTACACTTTGCACAGTAGCGTTGTAACGCTATCCGCTATAGCAATTTGGAGGGTGAGCCGCTATGCGCTGCTATCCGAGATTAATAAGTATGGCCTAAATTAGGAAATATCCATCCTAAAAGACAGGGTTTTGATTTAGTGGAATTTAGAGGGACATGCTTATGAACTTGATCCTCCTGATGGTTGGAAAGGAGTGATATTTTCTTTTTATTTTCAAAATTTGGTAACTTTTTAGCAAGGTTGTCAAACTCAGCACATGTAAACTCAACTTGTAAACTTGTTTACCTATTTCAACAATAATACACAAGCATTATTCAATAACATGTCTATAATCAAAGTTTCAACGTTCCTACTCCATAAAAAAGCAAACAAAATAACAAAGCATGATAATTCAACAAACAGAAAGCAAAGAACCGATCAGAAGCATGAACAGAACACAGAAACCGCAAGTACAGATCAGAACCCAGCAACAAACGTGATTTTTGGGGTCTAGAACAGAACAGAAAGAAAGAGACAATGGGGAAATGAACAGGACCTGCATCCTGACATTGCTCTATCAGAGAGATATGAAGTGAAACAGCCAATAACAGGGCCAAATCTGGAAATGCAACAGAGCCAGGATTTGAATTTGTGCCTTTAGTCACAAAGAAGTAGTTTTATCACCGCTCTAGCTCACCCTCTTACTAATAACCAAAAAAAAAAAAAAACACTCATAGTACATTCCTCTTCAAATTTCTCATGTGTCCATTTCTTTATAGAGCTTATTGTTTTGTTATGTCATTAGTATTCCATTTTTATCTTAAAAATCAAGTATGCCAATCATCCAAAGCCATGGAAACTTTTCAAAAGTTGTCACAAGTGGTTCTAAAGACAGGGGGAACTCTTTATCACATAAACCAAACCATTATGTCATAGCCTTGGAATGAATTTTAGTGTCACTTTATGACTACCTTCATAGAAGTTATCATAGATTTCCATTAATCAGAAACTTTCTACCCACTAGTTGGTATCAATTCTGTACGTGGATATATGAAATCCGACAGTTTCAATTAAAACTATAGGTCTCTGCATATACTGGAAGTTAAACACACACACACACCATTGTAGCCATTTTCATTGATAGGAAATAGATAATAACTAAAGGTCTATACCTAGAAACTCACTGCTCCCTGTCTTGTCATTAGGTGTATTATACAATAAACCCAATTCCAACCCCCTTGCATTATTGCAAATAGACTGTTTCCTTAATTCGAAATCTTGACCTCTCAGCCATCAAGAAGCAGCTTTACCACTGCTCTAGGCTTGCCCACTTTAGGTGTATTATACAATAATGAAAAGATATTTTACTGCTCTGAAAAGTGATTTTATATATTTAAGAGCTGTGCAAGTCATTTCATTGATATCTAAAATATTTATCAACATAAGATTCCAAATACATAAGCCATAAAGTGAATAAGTGAACATCTAAAGTCTCAAAACCCGGCTTCCTCACACTGACATGCCTTGAAGTGTTCATTCAAAATTAAAACACGAACCCAAAATCTCAAATCATAATCTTTTCTGCCTGCATTATCAGTATTTCATATAATTTTAAACCGCAAAATTATAAAAAAAAAAATTATCAACCAATCAATTATCAAACGAAAAAAAGAAGAAAATGCAGGAAAAGAAAAACATCAGAGGGATCTAAGTTATTGTATGATTAGCTTCGGCAATTATAAAGGCACCATCTCAAGCATCCAATGGTCCAAAGATTGCATATTTTTTCTTGAGATTAGGTAGAGATTGAAGCACTGAAAGACGACTAACAAAGAGATACTTGAGGCCAGATTGCAAGAAGAAAAGGGTTTTCCTATGCCTTTTGAGTTCCACCCTTGAAATGAAAGGGTTGCAACACTTGGTGAGAAACAGTTATTCTGTGCTTTAGGCTTCACCCTCTTTAAGCTGAGACTCACTTAACCTTCTAATCAACACAAGGACAGACGGGATGGTGGTGGATGGTGGCCAATAGGCATGTGGGGCTGGCACAAAGCCAGAGTGATAGGGGTTCACTATTTTGTAGCAAAATGAAAAAGGGTCCATTGTAGGTTGATGTCTGTAGATATCTTGTCAGGTTCACTGATCATTTATGTTGAACGAGTTTGCCCATTTGGACTCGCATTTTACATAAGCTTTGTAAAATTTTATTTGGCTTGATTCATTTTATAAATTAAAGGGTCCTAAGGTGCAAAGCAGACCAGACCCAGCCCTGCCTCTAACCTGACAAAAATGTGATGGGACTGGTTGACCCTATTTTCAAAAATGGGTTGAAAACACCAGCCTGTCTTGTTTAATGGCAGGTTTGCAAGTCAATCCGCCTAAATAATAAAAAAATTGAGAAATAGAAAGATAGAAATTAGAGAAGCTAAAAAAATACTATTTTATTCACCATTGGAAAACTAATGCAAATTAAGAAGATGCACTTGTTAAAACCAGAGAAGCAAACATGCATGATGCAAATAAATTAACCTGCCAGAGCTTAATTACTGATACTGTAATTTGATAATCACTGAAAAGGATGTTTCTGATTTTCTATTTTTTTAATAATGACAAACACAATCGGCATGTTTGATTTAGTCACCTAAACCATATTATAAATATGCTGACCAGTGGTGCAACATTCATACATACAATAGCAAACTGCTTACCCTGGAATTCTAGCTCCTAGAGTCCCAAACAAGCGAAATTGAGACATAGGCGTCTCTTGGAAAAAGTTAAGCAAAGAACAAAATACAAGTATATCAATGACTCTTCAACCGGAATATGCTTGATAGTATTCCCAAGTCTTAACTCTTATGCATATACAATCTAATATTAGGTGCGTATTCTTCAGCATTTCCCCCACCCCCCCACCCCAGTAAGTACCTTTTTATTTACTAACTTTATTTTGTTATCAGTTCAATATTGAATAATTCATGATTTAGAGTCAAATCAAATGAACCAGTTGTTAATAGCACATGGAAGATTTGTACAGTCATTCACGGAATGTGATGATATTATACATACAGGGCATAATAAAAAATTGATAAAATAGGCCTTAAGTAGGATGAAGATGTTACCTAAAGTAGAAGGATCATCACTAAAGTCATAATCCAACCTTTTTGAACCAAGTTTATCTCCGTGCAAAGTGACTTTCCAGCAATCAAATTGAAATACAAATACAAAAATCTTTTTTGAACACCTGCAAGTTACCAAATAGAGAGTAAGTCATCATAAGTTTGAAACAGATTATGAAGTTAAAGAAAAGTGAGAGATCCCAGAACATATAAATCATCACAACTTCAACTTTAGTCAAAATATCAAAGACTTTGTGATGGCGAAGGTTCCTAACTCTTCATCAACTCATTCACAATGTTATACGAGAAATATGAACCTCTTAAAACATAATTACTCAAATTCCACACAATTTAACACGCAGAAGAAAGAGAACAATTTATGTAAAAAATTTAGAACTAAAGAAATGTTTTACTATAAAACAGCTTCAAATCTTGTATAAAACCAATTATCAGCAGCAAATCTGGTTTCGTGTGGTTAAAACTTTTCAGGATATAACCTAAAGGGACAATCTAACAGGACTAAACAAAAAATCTCAGCCAAACTACATTTTAGGAGAATGGACTTGGTACTAAAGAAAGTCAAAGCTTGAAACTAAAAGTTCAAAACCCATCATGAAAAAAAAAATTAAAAAATCAGAAATTTCTGGTGTCATTTAAGCTTAAAAGCGGCATTTTTCTGTGTTTAGAAGTTCCATTTACTGCTTGTCATTGTTCCTCTTCAATTTAAACTTAATGTGAACCAAACATCACTATTTTCTGCGATTATCAGAAAAAAGGAAAAGGAAAGAAAGAAAGCAAAAATATACGGTACCTGATATGTGCAGAGAGGAGGAGAATGCGCCGGCGGCACAGGCTGTGTGTGGCTGGGGCGGCTGTGTGTGGCTGGTGTGTGCTCGTAGGGATAGATTCGAGTAGAGATCAGGGTTTAAGGTAACAAAACCCTAACCCAACTGAATAATAAGTATTTTAAAAAACTTAAATAAAAAAATAAAATGTACTTAATAATTGCATTTAAAAAAATTTCCTTTTATGATTATTGAGTAGGGTTGAATCGATAAATATTTTTTTATAAATTTACAAACTATATTATGTTTGACAGGTAATACTCTATTCAAGAGTGTATTACCGATCAGACATAGCATAATTTTAAGAGTTTGTAAACAAAAGATTTGTAAATATAACATTTTTCATGATTATATATTGGAAAAATATTTCGAAGAGTGACTAATGTGCCACGTTTTTTGCATTTATATATCAAACTGTCATGCGAACTAGGGGTATTCATAAACCGATCCAAACCGATTCAAACCGCAAAAACCGAACCGAAAAACCGAAAACCGAAAAAACCCGCAAATATTTACTGGATTGGATCGGTTTTCGGTTTGGATGTTGAAAACCGATCCAATCCAAACCGATCCAAACTTATTTTCTACCAATTTTTTTTTTGTTAATGTAGTATTCATGCCAATGATCTATGTATGGGTAAGAAGAATTCAGTTTTATGTTTCAAGTTTACTATGTTATGGAATTTCTGGATTACTTTCGTTAATCTAGTATACATGGTTAAGTTTTTTGTAGAAGCTGTGTTTTGGCCAGTGTTCATAGTGGCCACTTTTGCAGCCATTATAATTTATAAGTAGTAAAACAGTGACTTCTGTAAAAGAATTCATTACTTTTTTTATTAGTGATTTTGGAAGACTTATTACTACGGTATTGTCAAAATTTTCTGCTACTACCAATACAAAAGATCCATGACAAATAATACTACTCATTTTTCTAAAAATAATTCTTATAAGTTCTGTTTTTTTGGCTTTTCAAAAAACCGAAAACCAATCCAATCCAAACCGAAAAAATTGGATCGGATTTGAAAAAAAATTCAAACCGATCGGATGATGTAATGACCAAACCGAAGGAATTGGATCGGATGGTTTTTTGCTTCAAAACCGATCCAATCCAGACCGCGAACACCCCTAATGCGAACAGTAAAATTTATCAGACTGCCGCACGTTAAGTTCACTCCGAAGAGAACTTGGTAGCAAATGATTTCGTGACACGTGGCATACTTTCGCAAAAAAAGCTACGCTACCAAGGGTAGCGAACTTGGTGTATTATGTGGCACAATCTTATTGCCCGATCAGAATTTATGTACCAATCACAATCAAAAAAAGAAAACTAAGAAAAATGACTATTTAATTAATGGAAAATTATTTCTCCAGTCACCGGAGATAAAGTTATCTCCAGTGAGCTTAAAACGACGTCGTTTTGGGTTATAAGATTAAAAGATTATAATGACAAAGAGTAATATAACCCTGGAATATATTATAATTACAAAAACACCTTGATTTTCTCCCCGACGTCGTTACCAGTCACCAATCACTAATCACAATTAAAGTATCAATCACCAATCATAATTCGTTACCAGTCGCAGCGAACTTGGACACGTGACACTGGCAGACCTGCTCAATTGCCAATGTGGGCAAATGCAGACATAAATTTGGAGATATATTTTTTTTAGTAAAGAAGAGATATATTTTTTAATTAATTAGAAATGTAAGGAGTAATTTTAGTAGATGGATTGCCAAGAATGCAAGCACATGTACTAAGAAAGAAATACATATATTTCCAAAAAAAAAGAAAGAAATACATCTTATTTACTGCTTATGTTTTAGTGTTTTTATATCATTAAGTTGATTAGTATTTTTTTTATGTTAAGTTAAAGTTTTCTTTTCTTTTTTTATTTGGGGATTATATCCCTCATGTTATATGAACTAAATTTTTTATCATGTTAAGAAAAAGACAAGCTAATATTAAAGAAAGTGGGAGGGAACATAATTCAATGAATTGATCTTTTTTTTTCTTAACATGACAAAAAATCTGGTTTATATAACATGAGGATATAAACCCTTCTTGTTTATATTCTTTTATTTTTAATGCATTTAAAACTTTGTTTCAAAAAAAATTTCGGGGACAGCACGCCACTAAATGTGCAGACATAAATATAATTTCCTCGGTCCGCCATTGACACGTGGCAGTCAGTTTTTCCTGCGAAAGTATGCCACGCGTCACAAAATCATTGGCTATAAAAAAGTGACAATCTGGTCACTGTTCAAAATATCTCGTAAACTTATGTACAATAACTCCAAAATTATTTGGTTTTGGGATAGAGAAAATGAATGAAGGATATTTTAAGAGTTTTTTTTTTTGTTTATTTGTTATATGAATTTTATCAAAACCACTCCGTTAATTCTCTCAAATATCAAAACGATATAGTTTTGGGTTGTTGAAGATAACTTTATCTAATGTTGCAGCAAAAAGGATAAACCCATTATTTATTGGGAAAGTGTTTATGATATAACATGAGATAAAATTATTCAATAGAATAAGTTATCTCCCGTGACTCTAAAATTATATATACAAATTCGATTTTTTTCAGCCACTTTACGTGCATCAGTGACGAAAATTTTCCATATATATAGGTTAAAGTATTTAATGTAGGAAATAATAATCGTACAAAAAATAAAAGCATTACATGTGAGGAATCATAACTATACACCTGTTATTACTGCAACTACAACAACTTTAGATATGATTTTTCATATATATATATATATATATATATATATATATATATATATATATATATATATATATATATATATGGGAAAACTTAAGATAAGCTTATCTCCAGCCATCCCCTAATGTTATTCAGGAAATATATAGATATAATATTAAAGTTACTTTTTTTCTCTCTCTCCACGTCAACCGACAAGTTTCTAAAAAGTTTCTAAAGAGAGAGAAAAAAAATAATTTTAATATTCTAACTATGTATTCCACGAAATACATAATTATAAGGGGTGACTTGACAAAACCTCACATATATAGGGTCAGGATCATTTTACACTAGTGTAAGTTACACTCTTAATCTTGTCCGCTGATCCCACTTATATCTAAGGCTCTAATTTTTTAGTAATGAGAGCCATTGGATACAAGTTGATCAATGGTTAAGATTGAGTGTAAGACTTCTAACTCTTACACTAGTGTAAGAATATCCTGCCCCACACACACACACACAGATATATATATATATATATATATATATATATATATTATGAGGTAAGATTCTTTGACACCTCATCTGAGGGCCGTCAGATCAAGTCAGATCAATGACGTCACATGCTTACAAATCAGAGTCGTTTGATTAAGACAAGATCAACGATTTTCAGATGAGATGTCAAACTTTTTGTTCGCCACCGATGTCAAAAATTTCTATCCTTACATATATATATATATATATATATATATATATATATATATATATATATATAGGGAGGGTTCTTTTGATTCCAGAATAAGACTTTTAAGTCTTATTCCGCATCTGAGCCGTTGATGGATGGAAATCAACGGTTGTCATTTATATTGTAATTATTAATTAATTAATATAACTTCCTAAACTATAACCGTTGGTTGGACGGAAATCAACGACTAAGATGAGGAGTAAGAATTATAAGTCTTACTCCGGAGTCAAATGATCTCTCATATATATATATATATATAACTTATCTCCAGCCTCCTTAAAACTACGTCGTTTTGTTTATTTATTTCTTTATATTATTTGATTCACCCTTGAATGATTATGATTCTCCTTTTCTCTCTCTTCCTTCATTACTATTGATCCATCTTTGTACGGTTATGATTTATTAATCGGATATATATATGGGGTAGGATATTGTAACAACCAATTAGTGTTACTACCAATCAATTTCACCGTTAGATCGATTATGTTGATCTAACGGTTATATTTATTTTCATCTTTGTATGATTATGATTCTCCATATTTGATGTGAAAACATTAAATATGAGAAATCATAACCATACAAGGGTGGAAAAAATATTTCTACAGCCACCTTAGATAAGGGTATATATCTTTTGTGATTGCTATATATCCTTTGTGATTGCTTCATTAGTTTTGGAACCTTTATTTGATATCCAGCAAAAATAACATTTATGCAACCATGAATGACAGTGCGATATGTTGTTTGTTGGATAAACAGAACAACCATAACAAGTGACAATTTTATCCAAGCTGTTGTAGAAATAGAGACTGTAGTCGTGCTACAATTTTGCCTCAAAGGCTTAAACTCAGTGAATATCCCTTGGTTGCTCCTCTTCCTCGATTGGTATGTTGAACGATACCTTAAGATTAAGCGACTTACGAATACTATCGGGTCTCCTTAGACAGGATTTCAGCATGCTAACTTGTTCATTAGACACAAACTTCAGTGTAACATCTTTCATGTGAAGTCCTGTCCCTTTGTCTTTGCTGCGGTTATGATGATAATATTGTACTGCCTCGTAAGGTCTAAACTCAAAAGTTGATTCGTCAAGTAATTCTTGTTCCATTTTCTTCTGGGTGTCTTCATATCTAATCACCTGCGATCTTTCATTCCAATCATATTTGCACACATTCACCATATCAGGAGAAATTGTCTTACTTAGATAATTGGATGTATGAAGCTTTTCTTCCCTTCTCACAAACTGACCCTTAATGTTTTGCTTGTTTTTGTGGGGTATGGAACTCATGCCATCATAGAAGTTGACTTGAGAGTGTTGTTTGAGTTGTTGAGGTACATGATTGTTGGGATATTGGTTTTGTTGTGAAATGGGTGATTGGTTGATTTGCCCTTTAGCTTTTAACAAGTCATAGATTGTACGATTAGGAACAATGAGGAACACACTACCAGGAAGCAAAACTGACTCGGGTTTAACCACAATATATGGGAACTCAAAAAAATCTGGCCTAGTAATGCAGTGTCTTGGCCTCCTCCTCATAATCTCTGCTGCTTTTATTGGTTCTTTGTGAACCTCAATGTATCTACCAGGATGCACCAATTTTAGCACTCCTTTCTCCCTTTTGATGCTTACCATTCTCTCTGTTTATCTTT